AATACGCTTCATATATTTCTCTGTTCACGCTCCACTTTATCTGCCAGTGAATTCAATGATCTTATCAGATCTCCAGCCGCCATGTTTCAAACGATCCAAACGTAACACGCTTCCGCCAATCCCCGCCTTGAAGCAATGATTGACGGAGGGTGGGCGTGGTCAGCTCGGAATGCATTTTCAAATTTAATTTTGCTACACATATCCCACGGCGTCAAATGCAAAATGCAATCCTAAGTGTTCTAACTGTTAGTCTAAATGCATTTAGGACAAATAGCATTTAATTTTGCTACCGCTACCATTTCTGCTTGAACATGTTACACATATCAAATCAATTTGTGTTATACATTTTTATTTTCATTTCGCAACTTATAAAGCGTTCAAATTTGCATGCAATTTACATATTAAGACTACTGTTGGAAATGGCAAATGTAAATTATATAATTTAATTTTCATTTTACTTTTGCACCAAACTTTGCACGTGCCATTTTGCATATTGCATTGCCATTTTGCATATTGCATTTTAAATTGAATTTCGCTACCTATATGCTTCCATAGTGTACAGCTGAACGAGCAACCTTTTAAACTATAGCCTACTTCACTGCACCGTTTTGGCAGCGTAACCCCAGGTATGTGTCACGTCACCACATTCTCAGGTTTTGAAGAATAAAGAAGGGAAAAGTTAATCTTCCGAAATGAAGCAGCAATATCTTCTCAGGTAAAAGTTATTAGAACCGTGTCTAGGGGCAAGCTGGCCATCACTCTACTCTGAATCGGAGTCTCTGACCTTATCAGCCCGTTTTGTATCCTATTATTTGATTCACTCTTGTCGCTTATGTTATGACAGAACAGCTAACCAATCACGATGATCTTGTCTTCGGAAAAGATGCTTTTATTTGCTTACGTCAGAAACAGCGAATCTCTTTAAAAACTGGCTGTTGTTCTCACTACATTATGTTTCGTAAAAGTTTTACCCGCCAACTGGCGACTGACACTGTTACATATACTCGCCAACGCTGATTTTTACTCTCATTTGGCGCTTGGCGAGTGTTCATTTTAGGCCCTGTATATATATATGGGCAGCGCGCCGACATACAGTGCTGTTGTGCTATGGGCGTCCCGAGTTCGAATCCCAACTCAAGGACCTTTCCTGATCCCGCCCCCTATCTCTCTCCCACTTCGTTTCCTGTCAGTTGTGAGCTGTCCTGTCATAATAAAGGCAAAAATGCCAAAAATAAATAGTTAAAAAACAATTGCTCTCTGTATATCAGTCATTGCAAAACAAAAAACATTGATCGACAGTTACACTACAGATATTTCTTAACTTTCCTCTCTCTTTCCAGCAGTCTCAGATTTCTGGCTCTGAATCTCAGTTAAACACCTCCAGATTGAAGGAGGTTCTGGAGTGCTTCAGTAACAGTCGCACACCTTCCACCTCCTCAAGGAGCTCCCGCAAGTCCTCGCACACCGCTGTCTCCGACAACACCTGTACTTGTAAGCATGAAAAATTTAGCCAAAAGTGTGCTCTTCTGATGCGTTTTCCTGGTTTTGTGCCTGTTTAAAACTCTTGTATCTGTATGATTTCCTTAGCAACTCCCTCTAAGCTACAGATGGATGTGAGCACTCCACCCCGGCCCGCCACTGTTGATATGACACACCAACGTCGTTCCTCTATCAGCACCCAGGTGAGACTTGTGTATTCATCAATGTCAATACTTGGCTTTAATTATCTTACAAAGCATTCCTAACATATGCTTGTGCCTCGTAGCAGCTGAGTAATGACTGTGGTCTTATCGGCATTATTTTGATAGTCCATGAGTTCTCAAAACACCAATCAGACTGGATCTCTGGTCCAAATCAACCAACAGCAACAACCTCAACCACAGCAGCAGGTTCAACCTAATGCCCTGGTAAGAATTTTGTTTTGTTTTAGGTGTTTTCTATGGAAGCCCATTTCCGCTACCGAATAAAAAAAAATCTCACAATTCTTGACTTTTTTCTCGCAATTGTGAGTTTACATCTTGGAATTCTGACTTTTTTTTTCTCAGAATTGTGAGATATAAACTTGCAATTGTGAGTTATATAAAGTCAAAATTGTGAGCTATAAACTCGCAATTCTGATAAATAAAGTGAGAATTGCTAGATATAAACTCGCAATTCTGACTGAATTCTCAATTCTGAGAATTGCTTCTAAACTTCTGAGAAGTTTTTATCTCGCAATTCTGACTTTATAACTCGCAATTGCATGTTTCAGGGTTCCCACGCTTCTTGAAAGTACTTGAATTTCAGACATATGGATTCAAGGCCTGGAAAGTACTTGAAAACAAACAGGTCCTTGAAAGTGCTTGAATTAAATTTGAAATAAATTTTGTTTATGGCGCTATTTAAAAATTGTCCTATATGTTCTGTCAAAGACAGAACAAGCGGCACTAATGATTGGGGGTGGAGATGGGGGAGCGCGAAAAAAAAAAACCTGTTGACGCGCAGCCTAGAGTCCTGAGCAGGACAGTTTTCTTAAGCCTGCTCCCCCTGAATTTCTGAGCATTACCGCCCACTCCCGCAACGTGTGTCACGCTCCCGCAAACATTCTTTTTTGTCTTATTGTATATATTTCATCAACGAAAATAGTTCCAGATATAGTAACAGCTGAGCCGCTGCGCATCTCTGGACTAAAAATTAACTCCCAAAACTTACTGCAACATGGAGCTAAGGAGAAAATGTAGAACTTGAAAAATTGGAAAAACCGCTTAGTGAAAAGCGTTTACAGTTTAAAAGCAAATAGAAAGTCCTATTTTTTTAATTGCTTTTCTTAATTTTTTTTTTGCAGATTTGTACATGTACAAGGTTTAAAATGTTCATTAAATATTTTTTTAAAACATTGACATTTTGAGCAACTGCATTCCTCTAGGTCAAAGATGAAAAAATGGGATTTACAATAAAAAGTAATTTACAAAATTGACTTCAATGGATTTCATTAAATTCCTTTGAACACGACTGCTCAAAATGGTCTAAATTTATGAAACCTACACATTCAAAACATTATTACTCTGAAATTTTTTATGTAAATGTTGTGTAAGTGGTGAAATGTTAAGTAATGTAAGGTCTTTCATGACACTACATATGCTGGGGTGTGAATTTGATAGGTGCTTGATATAAAATAAATGGTGCTTTAAAAAGTCCTTGAATCTGGTGTTCATGAAAGAGTGGGAACCCTGATGTTTATATCATGCAATTCTGAGAAAAAAACAAGTCAGAATTGTGAGATAACGTTTTTTTTATTCAGTGGCGGAAATGGGCTTCCATAGTTTTCATTTAGTTCGTTTTTTTTTTTAGGGTTTGTTTTTTGTTTATTTGTGTATGTTTTTTTTTTTTTTTATTATTATTATTTTTGGTATGGTGTTTTGGTTTGCCAGATAGATCAGATAAGCCATCATTTAAATGACTGACTTTTGATTTTTCTCCATGACACCATGATGTTTATTCTTCTGTGCTTTCTGAATGTAGTTCTCTGCGCAGTTGAATGCAATGCAGCACCTGAAGGAGCAATTGGAGCAAAGGACACGCATGATCGAAGCTAACATTCAGAAACAGCAGGAGGAACTGAGACAGATTCATGAGCAGCTCCAGAGGGTGCAGGGACAGGGCACTCAGGTACACGCATGTAACTGTGAATATCGGTATTGACAACTTTGCTGTTATTAAGAAACAAAAGCATGTGATTGAAATGGTGTCTTTCAGATGATACTGCAGCAGTCGGGTGGTGGACTGAGTGTACAGTTGCCGCAAGTTGGAGGAGCACAGACTAACATTTTAGGGGTTGGAGCACAGACTGGGGTCGTAGCTATACAGGGCCAAAATGTGACAAGTACAGCACAGAGTGGGACTGTTCCACAGCAACAAGCACTTCCACAGCAACAGGCTTCTCGTTCCCTGCAGCAGGGCTCTTCTGTTACACAGGTGACTTTCATCATTTTTGCTCCGACAACCAGTAAATATTTGCTCTGACAACCACTTGATTAGTCTTTATTAAATAATGCAATGCCTGATGAAATCTGAACTTTCAGATCAGGTCCTTTTAAAATATGTATTATATATGTACACTACCATTCAAAAGTTTTTAAGGTTGTAAATGTTTATGAAAAAAGTCTCTTAGGCTGCATTTGTTAAATAAAAATACAGTAAAAACAGTAATATCATGAAATATCATATAAATATTTTAGTTTATTCCTGTGATGGTAAAGCTGAGTTTTCAGCATCATTACTCCAATCTTCAGTGTCACATGATCCTTCAGAAATCATTCTTATATACTGATTTGGTGCTCAAGAAACTTATCTCATTACAGTTTAAAGTGGTTGTGGTGCTTAATATTTTTGTGGATTCTTTGATGAATAGAAAGTTCAAAAGAACATTTATTTGAAAAAAAAAATTATCTTTTGAATTTTTTTTTTAAATATTTACTGTCACTTTTATATTTTATAATTACATATTACTCATGATTTTTTAAAAACAGCTCTGTTGCAATTAGACATAAGAAAGAGTTTGATTGACATTTGTTAACACTACAGAATTGACTGTAATTACCAGTACCTTTAGCCGTGTATTGCCTAGAAGTAGCTTTTAAAGTAGCCCATTAACAGTGACAATCTCCTGTTCTCCACTTCATATGGTGACACCATCTAAATGGATGACCTCATTTTTGTCTCTTTCTCTCTCTCATTCTCTTTCTCAGCATGGTCCTGTGTATAATACCATGATGATCAGCCAGCCTGCCAATGCCAATGTTGTGCAGATACCCAGCAGTCTGGCACCAAAAATAAATCAGGGAAATGCAATCAACAGGTGCATGTCTTTTTCCTCATTCTCTTTCCCAGGACACCTTCTACAGATATTATCAGTATTATTTAATTAATCATGTAATTATTTCTTTCTTTGTCTTGCTTTGTCACTCTCAGATTTCCTGCCGGGCAGCAGTTGGTCACTAAGATTGTGACCGCTCCAATGGCGTGTGGTGCTGTCATGGTACCCACAACAATGTTTATGGGTCAGGTTGTGACAGCTTATAGCCCGTTTGCACAGCAACAAGGTCAGACACAGACCATAGCACTGCAGCCTCAGTCAACAGTGCCTGCAGAACAGCAGGCTCAAACTACCACATTACAAACAAGTCAACAGCAGGGGGCGACGCAGCAACCATTTTTACAGGTAACAAAGCATGCACATAGTTTCATTTTGAGTCTACTCAGAACTATGATTCAGTGATTGGTATGCATCACCACATGACATTCTACGTAGTCTTCATACTAGTCTAGTTTACAAGCCTTAATGAAGTTGACCAAGAAGTTCTACTGGGTTAAACTGCCAGCTGGTAATCCATCTAAACCAGTCTCAGTCTTTTTGATTCTAAAGGCCCCCTTTGTCAATATTCAAAGACCCTATCTAACCTCTGGTACTTCTGTTGCAAGTACCATTTTTAAGTATTAAAAAGGAATAATCTCAAAAATATAATGTTATATAAATTATATAAACAAATAATTAAATGTTGTACTTGTTTGTTTTTATTTTAACATGTTATGTAATAATGATTGTTATATAATATGATGTATATGAGATTAATCTAACTGAATTATATGTATATGTATGCGTCTGTATATATATATATATATATATATTAGTTATATTAGTTAGTTAAAATGTATACATTTTATATATATATAAAATTTTGTTATATTAACTATCATTATGTAGCAATCATTAACAAAAAATATATTGATCAAGTGACCGTAAAGATATTAATTATGTTACATTCTATTTCAAATAAATGCTGTTCTTTTGAACTTTCTATTCATCAAAGAATACTGGGGGGGGGGACTTTTCAACATTGATAATGAAAAACATTATTAATAATTGAGCACCCGTATTAATTGATGATAATTGAGCACCAAATCAACATATTAGAATGATTTCTAAAAGATCATGTGACACTGAAAACTGGAGCAATGGCTGCTGAAAATTCAGCTTTTCCATCACAAGAATAAATTAAGTTTTAAAAAATATTAAAATAGAAAATGTAATTTAAAATGTGAATATTTCACAATATTACCATTACCCTTGATGAGCATAAGAGGCTTCTTTACATTTAATAATAATATTGATACTTATTCCAATAATAATAATCGTGTATGGTGTATATGCCTGTTTTTATTCATTTAATTATTTCTTTTTTTAACTTAGCTCTAAATTATGAAGAAACAAACAAATAACTTTAACACTTACGGGGGCCCCCTATTTGAGAACCACTGATCCTAACACATTAATGTCCATTTAGATACCCATGTAAAACTTCCATTAATTAATTTATTTTCAGAAGAAAATATCAGTCAACTTTAATTTTAAATAAAGTTTTTGACTTGTATCTAATTTTCTGCTATGTATTTGTCAGAGTACACGCTGCCTTCATGGCAACCAGTCCACACAACTGATCCTGCAGGCTTTCCCTATTCAGCAGCAAGGTACATTTCCTCCATCACAACAACAACCGCAGCAGCAACTGAAACCACAGACTCAAAAACAACAGAAAGGAACCCTTTCTCGTCAGACTGACAATACTAGTGCCCAGTCTCAGTAACATGGATGAAAACAACAGCCAATCAGATGGAGGAGCCAGCTAACTTAGTCTCCTCTAGGAGTTTATTGGTGCTGTATTTAATTTGAAAGCTCTACAATAAAACCGCTCTTCCTGGAAGCACATTAGAAGATTTTAAGACAAGGAACTCCCTCAACATGGCAGCTGCGTGGAACACAACACCACCAGATGGATGCGATGTCAACCATGTGGAGTGTTTCACCGAACCAACAGGTGGTTGCCAAACTCATTATTTATTTCAACATGGTCTTTGCCAAACAGAAACCCTGTTCTCAGTCTTTCACTGTAAACAGCCCAAAGAACTGAGTCTGTACAGTCTCGTGTACCATACCAAGTAAATACACAACCATAAAGGAACAAAGCAAGATACTGAATATTTTATATGCTGCATGAGAAGTGTAAACTTTCATTTGTAATTCCAGTTTTATGATTTCCATTTTTAAGTATTATTTTAATTTTAACATTTTTATATTATGCATATAGTGATGCTTTCTACTTTTAACCCTTCCCTCACAATGGTCTCTTCACGTATAGTTAGTTTTTTGTTTGTTTGTTTTTTGGAAATTATTATACCCCATTGTCTCTGACATACAAAAAATGTCCAGTTTACATTTAGTTCTAACTATCACACACATTTAATGCAGAAGAATCAAAGTTGATGGTTTTAAGTGCCAAAACTTAGCTGCTTTGTTTAAAAAAAAAAAAAATCTACTTCTGTTTTTTTGTTGAACGTTGATTTGCTTTTTAGCTGAGTCATAGTAGTCCACTAAAAAGTTTTTGTGCACCTTTCCCCCTTACTTGTAGCACTTATTGTGTTCATACACACTAAAATAGTCCAGCCTTCTAGTAATTGTGACCTAATGGTCTTTTAAAGGGTTAGTTCACCCAAAAATTAGCCTGAGTTTTACTCACCCTCGAGGGATCCTAGGTGTATCTGTCTTTCTTCTTTCAGACGAGTCCAATCGGAGTTATATTAAAAATTGTCCTGGCTATTCCAAGCGTTATCATTGCAGTGGGTGGGTGTTTCTGTTGAACAGTCCACAAGACGTCAAATAAAGCGCGCGCATCCATAATAAAAGGCGCATGAATAAAGGCCTCCTGTAGCGAATCCATGCATTTTTGTAAGAAAAATGGCCATATTTCAAATGTAATAAACACTTTTCTCTCACTTCCGTTATCTGTCATACGCGGAAGGCAGAACGCCTTTGGCGGATGATGTAGGAAGTATGCGCAGCACACGCCTCTGAGATATGCTAGTCTCGCGAGTTTGTTTACAGGAGCAAAGGAAGCAAAGTTTCCTTACTTTAGCAAAGGAAAACCAGTCTCCTCTTGGCTTATATCGAAATCCTCCAACATTTTTCTTTACAAATCCTTGGTTTGTACTAATTCGTGAACGCCGTTTTGTTTTGTTCTCTCCGCTTTCGTCACTAATCACGCAATGCCGACGTCCTACATCATCCGCCGGAACGGCTTCCGCATACCACAGTGAGATGAAGTGAGAGAGAAGTGTTTATTATGTTTGAAATATGGATATTTTTCTTACAAAAACGCTACAGGAGGCCTTTATTCACCCCCAGAAGCCGTGTGAGGCACATTTTATTATGGATGCGCGTGCTTTATTTGACGACTTTTGGACTGTTCAACAGAAACACCCACTGACTGCAATGATAGAGCTTGGAATAGCCAGGACAATTTTTAATATAACTCCGATTGGATTCGTCTGAAAGAAGAAAGTCATATACACCTAGGATGCCTCGAGGGTGAGTAAAACACAGACTAATTTTCATTTTTGGGTGAACTAACCCTTTAAGTTACTTTATGTATGCATGAACAGTATGTGTATTTCTCAGATGAGAATGACACGCCACGAATAAGCTTTGAAATCCTCATTCATAATTGCTTTGTTCTCCCTCGTGGTTTTGGGAGCTATGCAAGAAGCCACATCCAGGGCACAGCGTTTCTATACTGAGGACAGTCCAGAGTACTGTGGACCTTTTAGATCCCATTTTCAGGAAAATAATGATTATATTGTCCTCTTCCTATTTTGTTCCAAAGTTGTAATACAAACCGAAGTTGGGTTATCGTGCAGCTGTAGAGTCTTAAAGTTAAAGTGATCTTCTTTTTAACTGTTTGTGTGTGAATGTATGTGTGTGCGAGAGAGAGAGAATTTAAAGTGCAGGATATTATATCAATAACAGTTTGTGACAATTCCAGTATCGCTGTTTTGGTTGCTACTGTGTGTATTAACCCCAGCGATGACCAATCAGTTCTTGCGTTGCAGTAACTCAGCATTCTAGATGTTTCCCCGTTGGCTTGTTGGCTATATACCTCAGAAATGGTTTTATATACGAAGTATTCAAAGCAATTTTATTTTCATATGGCAAAAGACTTCTGTGTTAACAGAATTGCTGTGTATAGACCGGTAGCACTGTTAAAGGTATATGGAAACTGAATAGATTTTGACGTTGATGACTTTTGGAATTCCAAAAGTGGAGATGCCCCTTAAAGTAGATGCCCAACTTCCCTTATCTGTCCGATTTTTTTTCCATAGTGTTGTGTTGTGCGTTTTATAAGATTTTATTGTGCACTAAAACCCTCAGTTGTGTTAGCTGTTACTGTTGGAACCAATGTTTCTTATAGTGTGTACAATCAAAAATGACGTAAAACTTACGCCCCCAAAAAAAGCTACTGACAGGTTGAAGAGAGAACTGATATGGACTTTGGATGTCCCTGAACATTTCAACCTTCTGTATCCATTTTTTTTTTTTTTGTATGCAACCAAAAGATTGTGCACTTTTGAATATGATGGTTATTTGGTTCCAGCCCCAGAAATTTGATTAGTGTTTGGCCTGATGAATATCAGCGAGTTGAGTGAATAATGATAAAATATTGAATCATCAAAGAAGTAAAATAAATCATCAAACAAGTTAAATAAGTCCTAAGGTGTTTAACCCTAAAACATGTTCATTTTGTTCATGAATTGCTGTGCACTTCAGTACAAAACCATGTTACCACAAATAATTGCCCGCAGATAATATTACCTTCAGTAATTTTAATTTTGTAGGAACTGTCCTTTGTCAGTTTACCAAAAACCATTCACAATATTCAATCTTGAAATAAAGCAAATAATGTTATTCACGTTCTCTACTAAATTGTCTGCTTCAAGATTTGCTTTTTATTTTGTTTTATTTTATTTTTAAGGTGGCATATATTCCTAATTACAGTACTAAATGGAACTGCCAAAATAATGACTTTAGCAAACATTTCTGAACACTTCCATTTGTATATTATTCGCCAGACCAACAGATAACTCACGCCATTGGTTGAGCTAGTTCAGCTGGTCAAATACTGTATTTTAACAAAATATATGCATAACTTTTAAGGAACTGCACAAATTATTTTTGTAATTTAGAAAATACACAATTTATACAATACATCCTTTACAACTTTTCATTTATTTTCATTTATTCTGTATAAAAACAGGAACATTTACTACTGGCCTTTTTTTCTGACATACTCTAAAAGTTTAAAAAATAGCTGACACTTCAGATATTTACAGAGTCAAATCTCATAGCAGTTATTTGTCACAGTCAACATTCAAAAACATTTCATTCTTTTTGAGACCAACATTCCATCCTTCATACGTGGTTTAGTCAGCTGGATTCATTTTGGAATAACTTTGCATAAACGTTGGATATCTACTGGAATAATTAGCTTGTTAATTCACAACAAGCAGATGTCTGATATGTTTATCATCTTTTAAGCATGCTTCAAGAATGGAAACTTGCGTCTCACTCCAGTTAATGTAGCCAAGTTAGCCACTTTTGAAGAATGGAACCTAGTCAGTTATTACAAGAAATCCAAATATGATTATCTCAGTTTTACACAGCAACAAACAACTTTTTATTTA